GCTATGAAGGTCACGTTGCAGGAAAGATCATGGTGGGTTCAAAGTATGGTTTCTGCAGGGCAGAGAAAACTAAACTGAGATCCCAAGGCAGCACAGGGTGCTGTAGGGGTGGTCTAATCTAAGAAACACTTTGAATAAAGGAAAATGAAGCCAGAGGTTTCTGGAACAAAAATGGACAAGACCGAAACTTCTCCCTTAGTCTAGGTTCACACCTATGCATTTTCTATGCAGTACACAGCAGTACATTTAACATGACTCCCTATGGGACAGGTCCACATCTCCACGTTTTCGTTAGGCGAAAGGGTCAGGGACTTTTATAAATGCAAAATGTTGTGTTTTTGGTTCTATGGACTGCAATGGAGACGCTGCAGAAAAACATGTAGTGTGTTTTTGACGTGTTTTAATCTGCCCAGCAGCAAATAAAAAAAAAAACAAAACAATGCAAAGCGCATAAAAAACATGTGCAAAAATGCAAAATGTACTGCAGAAACGGATCCAACGCAAACTGCATAGGTGTGAACCTAGCCTTAAGGGTACTTAGGGCTAAATTCTGGTCAATCCAGAATGCAAGGCACAGATAAATCTCTTGGATTAAAATACCTGTGTTCATATTAAACAATGGATTTACAGGTACAATAGTAATTTTTTCTCAAAGTGGCTTTCCTGGCTTTGAGCACTGTGGGAATGACAGAATTAGACACCCCTGTCCCTCAAGACCTAAATTTCAACAGCTAAGCCAATAACTGAGAAGCAGGATGGAACAGTGGGCCCTTAGACAGAAAGTCTGGCCTGTTTGGAAGAGGTTGGTGACAGCTGACAATCTTTCTACCAACTCTCCACTTTTCTGATGTTTACAGAGAGGGCTGGACAGGGTTTCTTCACCTAGCAGATAATTACACTTCCATTAAGACTGCCTGACTCCTGGTACCCCCTTGGTGGTTGATATATCAATATAGAGCACAGCCATGGCATTGTCTGATTGTACCCTGATCAGGTGACCCTGAAGGAGGGTCCAGTGATTCAGAGCTAATTTAATATCGAGCCAGTATTTAATACTCAAGATTTTGATAGGAGAGCTTGGCTACCACCTTGGGTGTCTATGGTTCCTCGACTGTGAGGGATTGGAACACTCGTTCTCAACCACTGAGTAGGGCAACCTCCATGCATATGGTAGAAATAACTCCCCCATTGTCAACGGTGGACTGGAAGCCACCAAACATAGGGAGTTCTTTACTTTGCTGAAGAGGTACATAGGAAGGTTGAGAGATGGAGTGTACTTGTTCCGAGCCAAGAAGAGGTTGCATTGGGGAATCCTTAAATGGAGTTGAATGAAGAGTACAGCCTCCAAGGAGGCTACCATGAGGCCCAGAACTCTCATAGGGAAACTCACTGAGAGAGGTCTCTTTGATCTTAAGATCAAAGCATCTTAAGAGAGAAAAATGCTACACTTCTGGGGGGGGAAAAAAAAAAAAAAGACTTTGGCTATCTCCAGAATGAGTTCTACATACTCCAGGTGAAAAAAAAGACTGGAAAGCAGACTTTTGAAAATTGATTACCCAACCAAAGGCCTGAGGCATCTGGATAATCCTTTGGAGAGGACTATCTAGATGCCTCAGGCCTTTGCAGAAATTTGAAAGGGAGGTGAACTCTTCAGAAGGCAACAATGGAGATACCACCATGGTGTGCTAGGCAATATCTCCATTATGACATTTATGATCCAGTCTCCAGCTGGCGGTTGCTGCTCCACCCAGTATCCTAGAGCCTTTTCCAGGAATGTGTGCAATGGGAATATGTGTGGTCCTTTTACAAGGTGGTCCTCTGGGTATACTTTTACCTGAATGTCCTGAGATCTTAAGAGGATATGAAGAGGTTTAAAGTACTTTTGTGAATACTCTGGCCTGTTTTTTTTTTGTTTTTTTGCAGCACCCAAACAGTGGTGTGACAAATTGGACGTGTCTCTCCTACTTAGAAGTGCAGGCAGTGTTGATGAGGTGGGTAAATGGGAATAAGTAGAAAAGCATCTTGAATGTCTACTGATGAGAATTAATCCCTTTGTCTCAGAGATGCAATAACTGACCATGCTGATTCCATGTGACACTTTGGAACCTGAAGAATTGTTTAGGAACTTTTAGGATCAAACATAGGTTTAGGTTTTGGCATTATGAATAGGTTTGCAATGAATGCTTTGAAGGATAGGATTGATCACTCCCTAGGAAAAGATAGTTCACAGAGGTCTGCAGCTTTGACAGTCCTTGAGAAGATTTCGGTTGGTATGAGAAAAAATAAGGAGGGTACAGATTTGGATTCTATTTTGCACATCTTTGAAATGAACAAGAGGTATGGCACACCTGTTATCCAGAGAACTGTAACAGATACTCCTCATTATTAGGAGTTAGCCAACATGGCCAAAAACAACAGTAGGCTCAACAGAAGCACCTGAAGGACCTTACAACCAAAACTGGTACAAGCTGAAGCCTGAACATCCTGGTGTAAGTGTGTGTGTGTGTGTGTGTGTAAACTGATGTCCAGGTGGCAGCCTTACTAGCCTGAGGAACAGCTGCCTGATGCTGCCCAAGACAACCTTGTCTGTGTGTAGTACAAGAAAGGGTCCTTTTCTATTTAAGACTGCACACTCAGAAACATGCTTTGCAGGTGATGGCAATGAGTAAGGCAACCATGTTGAGTGGACAGAGGAACATCTGTGATGGTCTCAAAGGACAGTTTCTCACAACTGACAGAACTAGGTTGGGATCCCCTGGAGAGAATATATATTTATTACACACACACACGTGTATGTGCAAAAGTTTTAGGCAGCTGTGGAATTATGCTGTAAATTAAGAATGCTTTCAGGAATAGAAGCATGTATAGTTTTTTTTTTTTTTTTCCCGTCAATTAATAAAATGGAGAGTAATTGAATAGAAGAGAAATCCAAATCAAATCAATATTTGGTGTTACCACCTTTTGCATTCAAAATCACATCAGTTCTTCCAAGTACACTTGCACACAATTTTTGAAGGTACTGCCTCAAATCCTTCTGTCTCTTCATGCAATCCAGACAGTTGAGATCAGGGCTCTGTGGGAGCCAGACCATCACTTCCAGGACTCCTTTTCGCTGGTAGTTCTTATGGACAATGGCTGTATGTTTGGGGCCATTGTCTTGCCGCAGAATAAATATGGGGCTAATCACATGCCTCCCTGATGGTCTGGCATGATGGATAAGGATCTGCCTGTATTTCTTAGCATTGCAGAAATGCAGCCCCAAACTTGCAAGGAACCTCTGCCATACTTCACTACAGACACTCATTGTTGTAAGAGGTTCATGCAAGGAAAACAATACTGTATCTAGCAACTGAAAAACATTTGCACTGTGGAGTGGACACAAATTTCAATTAGTTGAAGTTAAAAACTGGTATGTAGTTATGCAAAATGCCTACAAAAAGTCCTGCTAAAAAGAGGGAAATGCTGGTTTCAGAGGCCAAGAGTGTACTTTTTCCACAGTACACTATTACACCTTTTGAAATTGACCACGATTGAAAAGGCAACGTTCCTTGTGTCTTTATTCAAGGATATCATCTTTATCTCTAAGCAAAGTATAAAATAAAGGTCTAACATTTGCCTAGTCAAATGTCAACAATTTCATAGGGTGTGCTTACTTTTAGACATGATTGTAGATCAGCATTTTTGTGTTGAATAACTAGTAACAGGAGACTAGTTGTCTAATGAAATGGATACATGAAGCTTTCAACAGCAATACCTTCAGTGAATAAAGACACATTCTTCAGTTCAATGAGTAGTCATTGTCTTTTGCGATTGCAGCTTTCTATGAAACCTCCAATATACACATACCGTTTATATTTAAAAAAAACAAAACAAAAGCTACCTGCAGACTGTTGAAAAGCACACAATTAACTAGAATATAGCAAAGTCACATTCTTAGGACTTGCATACATGCCATAGCTAATTTGCTTGAATTTTTGCACACCAAAAAAGTTGGCTATTCCTGAAAATAGCTTTGATAAGCAATTTTTTTTTTTATTTTTCCAAAAATGTAACTGGTAGGACCAACTTCAAGATCCATTAAAAAAAAATCAATAGCACAGCCCTAATATGGCATTGCTGCTGCTAACTGATGGTGACCCAGACTAATAATAAAAAAAAAAAAAATAATCGGTCTATGGCTAACTATATAGTAAAACACAGCTAAATTGTTTTAGCACAACCATTGCTTATGCATACAATGTATAATCTTCAAAAAAAAAAAAAAAAGTGTTTCACAGTGATTTAGGTTTTTAATACATCCACAAACACCATACATACTCTGCAACAGAACATCACTGTAGGAGAAAAAAAAAACAAAAAAAAAAAAAACAAAACACAAAATCACTAGTCCCTTCCTGAAGAAATTGACAAGGTTGGTCCAGATGGTTCTTATTCAATACAAGCATTTTGCAGTAGTTGGCCACTGTATACACACAAATTGGTTCACTCAGCAAAATTTTCCAGTTTAAAAAAAAAAATGCAATTATCTATATGCAAACCTGTAAAAGCAATGGTGTCCTGCTTACAAAAATATTTTTCTCCAGTTAAAAAAAAAAATCATATTCTAGACTGCAGGGCACCAGTCAGATAAGATAAAACAAAATTTGTTTTAATTGACAAAACAGATTTACAAGTGCAGAACAATGCTGCAAGGATTCAACAAATGGCACACAGTATATACTCTTACCCAAGCAATCTGGGTAAACCAAGGGATAGACGTCTTACGGAGCTTTTAGGACATACATTTATTATCAGATAATGTACCTTCAGGAAAGTCTCCATTAAACTAGAGTACTAATTGTGATCATAAAAAGACATTACCTAGCATATTTCATAATCAGGTCTTTAACCATGACTCTGTTAATCATGAGTACGTGTTAAATTAGTTCTGTAAACATGATATCATTGATGTAAACAAGCCCACTTTATGTCTTGTCAGTAACAGAGGGTTCCCAGCACCATCAGCAAGGTGCTACCAGCCTCCTGCGTCTGATACATTCCCATATCCAGCGTGGTGTCACATGCTTGGCATCCTCGGCACATTCTGGAACGTCTCCAATCACGTGTGTGGCTGAAGGAACATCAAATTCTGGGACGAGATCACCGTCATAGGCAACGAAGTAGCGGCGCAATTTTGAAAATTCCTCAAGTGAAGCAGGCAGATAAAGCTTCACTCCTGTGAATATATCCAGAAGGGTCTACAAAAAAAATGCAAATACAGCTTGAGACCTAGTAAAGCCACCTAACGAAGACTTTAGTCTATTCAGCAAGCCCTATGAGAAGCAATAATTCAATAAGCCCTATGAATAGTCACAAACGGAGCTAAAGCAGAAAAGGAAACAACCCAAGAGCTTTTAAGAAAAGACATGTAGGCTGCAAAAAACAAAATCAGAATCTAGAAACAAGTCTATATTATAGTAAGAGTGGTCAACGTATTCAATATCTAGGGCCTCAAGTGTAGCCCCTAGAAAACTGTCAGACTGGACACATTACAGTGGACTTCAGTTTGTGACTGAAGACATCTTATGCAAAACTATTAGAGATTGTGGTCATTACAAACCCTTTTAAAGTTCCTCCTTATTAAAAAAAACAAAAAACCACAACCCCTCCCCCCAAAAAACAAAGCAAAAAAAAAAAAAAAAACCCCACACATTTCTAAAAAGATCATGCAGACATGTTGGAGGCACTCACAGGTCTTCATACAGGAGCAGTACAAATCAGCAACATTTACTGTGTCAAATGTTTTGCCAGCACACTGGCCAATTTTCTCAAGATGTGTTTTCAGTGTGCTGTTGAAACAACAAACATTGCTGATTTGCACTAGTTCCTGTTTCAAGACCTGTGAGTGCCTCCAACACATCTGGATTATGTATGCTGACTTTACTGCGTGAGTGCACATAGGCCAATGTTCCACATGTAGTGTATAGTGGCTACCCAGGGATGTATAAGTGGGAAAATGAACAGATTATAAAAATTAAAAATTGTGAAAGAAATAAACTAAACCATAGGAACAGCAGAAGCAAAACAAATTTTTTTTTTTTCCTTCACTCGCCCCGAGTAAGGACCTTATGGCCAGGGAGAGAAAATACTGGCTCAAGGGAGCCCAAGAGCCATACAATGAGAACCAGAGGTCCACAGAATGAGTAAGAGAATGGCAAAACTAATCTAATATTATCAGTATAAGTTGGAGAATGAGAGAATCCATCTAGGTTTACCTGGCAGGAAGAATGCCAGTGGCTGTAGGCAACACTTACTTATATTTAAGCATTAATATGCCGCAAGCCTCTAAGTTTCAGGTCAGAGTTCTTTCTATGTGTTCTCCTTCCAGTAAAAACACTGATACACTTGTAAGATTATGACTATACTGGGAAAAGAAGAAAACTATAAATATAGATACTTGCCCTGAAAACCATAGAGCAAAAAAAAAAAAAAATCACTGCAGGAGGCAAGCACTTCATGGTTTTAAAATAAACATAGGGAGTATGTGGACTGCCCTTGAGACCTCCTTCTAAGAAAAAAAGTTAGTCAACTTGCTGATATTCTGACCTATTGGCTTTGGGATTGATTTACTAAGGCAAATAGGCAGTTCACCTAGAGAACTTGGGAATTCACCCCAGAGCTTGGTGAATAGGGTGAAGATCTTCTGACTTCCAACATCCAATCGTGCAAGCAAAAATGTTTTTTTTTTTTTTTTAATTTTCTTTGCACCTGATTGAGTATTCTTTGCAAAGTGAAATTTCACCTCATACCACTAAGCTCTGGGGAAAATTCCATTGCAAAATGCAACTTCCCTTGAAAAGCAAATAGCCTATTTGCCTGTAGTAAATCAATCCCAAAAGCCAGTGGGTCACTGGTCCAGAAAAAGTAGACAGATCAAATAAAACAGAACTGCTTCTGTCCATGCTTGATCCAGGATAAGTGAGTACTCGACCATGAATTAGCAATTTTGTAAGGAAAGATCAGTAATGACAACTCCCACAACCTCTGCACTGCAGCACCCACACTGCTGAAGCCTCTGCTTGGACTCAAAAATACAATGTAAAGGGGTGGCACGAGCATTTGGGAAAGGTACTGGAGAACAAGAATGTCTGAAATGTACTTACTTTGGCAGTGGATGATGTCTGTGCCACACTATGTCCATTCCCATTACTGGAACTGGAGAGTTTTACCTGTGGAAAAATATGCACGTGTCATATAACAATGTTGAACAAAACCAAAACTAACATGAGTCCGATAAAAACACAAGCCTTGAGATGAGGAAGGAGAAAAAACCCCCCCCCCAAAAAAAAAACCAACCAACTGCTTACCTTTTTACTTTCAGCAGACACAGGCGATACAGTTTTCCTCTTCTCTGCTTTAGCCGGTTCCTCTTTTTTCTTTGGTTGGGAAATTTTGCCACCTAAAATGTACACAATTCAAAGAAAATAATTCTGCCCCCTCCTGGTAGCTCAACATAATTGCAACTAGCAATAAATCAATGAATTTTACAATTCACTGAACTACTCCAAACAAGGTTTTCTGTTCCATTTACTACTGCAAATAAAAACAGTTTTTGTCAATTCTATCTTTAGCACGTTAATAATAATATTATACTACTACAGGATTTACAAAGCACCAACAGTTTACGCAGTGCTTTACAAGATAAGGGCAGACAGTACAATTACAATACGATTTAGTACAGTAGGAATCAGAGGGCCCTGCTCAATTTTAGTGCTTAACCTCCTGGCGGTATTCCGAGTGTAGCTCGGGGTAAAGTTTCAGTACCAAAAGCGGTAACCCTGAGCTACACTCGGGCTTACCTTGTCCTTCGCTCCCGCGATGTGTCCCCTGCAGCGTCCCTGGCCATCTCCCCGGCCGATGCCGGCATCTGGCTTCCGTGTTCCGGTCCCTGCGAGCGTCGGGACATACGGGTGCCGGAACGTCAGCAAATTTAAACATTTTTAGAAACTGTCATTTTCTTAGAAATGAATTTGACATAGTAAAACATTACTGTATCAAACCATTTCACATACATTTTGTCCCGAGTGCTTTGTCCGGCGCCCTGCCTGCATTTTGACTGTTCTTTCTGCCTGGAAACTTAGAAAAGTCCATGGCGTCCAAAAAGTGTCCCTTTTGGTCCAAAACGGTTTTAGACCAACTAGAGAACAGCGATAGTAAATCAGAACCACTTGCAGAATTGAGTGATGATTCGTGGGGAAATTTATCATCAGACACTGAAAACGATTTTGCGACTTTGCTCAGTGATGTGCGAACTCGGCACTATATTTCAAATTTCAGTGTTTTTGGTTTGATTATATTATTGAATTAAATTTATTATATTATTATTTTTGATTATTTAATAAATTATAATTTATGATTTTGTGTTTCAAGTGTTATCCTACCCAGGATGTTTACTAGACTCTTGTTCGGACAGATTTCAGTGAGTTATTCCTAAAAATTACAGGCCTACAATAAAAAAAATACATATTTCCATGCAAAAAAATGTACCACTTTCAGCACAGAAATATTGCCATAATCAGACCACTAGGGAGGTTAAATCACTAGCACGCTCATTTGCACAAATAAAAAACCCATTCCGAAAAAGTCAGGACACTGTGTAAAGACAGAGCGCAATGATTTGCAAACCTCATAAACCCATATTTTATTCACATTAGAAAACACATCAAATGTTTAAAAGGCTAAGTTCACCTTTTTTCTCCTAAATTCAAGCTTTCCTATGTACCAATATACCATTAATGTATGTACCTCTGCTGCAGAAAACAAAAAACTTTCTTCACATTCTAGAGGCCTTACCTCAGCATCCAAATTATTCTAAAGACAAAACCTCCATTACTTCATGGTATTCAGGCAGGAAAACTGTTAGAAGGAAGTACATCTGCAACTGACTTCATTAATAGATGAACCTTCACAGCCCCCCCCCCCAGCTCTCCAGGAGATTGCTCACTTTTGTTGCCAGCGGTTTAGACATTAAATGGCTGTGTGTTGAGTTATTTTGAGGGGACAGCAAATTTACACTATTATACAAGCTGTACACTCACTACTTTACATTGTAGCAAAGTGTAATTTCTTCAGTGTTGTCACATGAAAAGATATTATATATATATATATATATATATATATATATATATATATATATATATATATATATATTTTATATAGTCAAACCATTTCAGAAAAATGTTCAACGTAAAAGATTTTATTTATTTTTATATATATATATATATATATATATATATATATATATATATATATATATATATATATATATATAAAATCTTTTACGTTGAGGAACATTTTTCTGAAATGGTTTGACAATTTTTAGATGCAGCATTTCACAGATTGTTGAACCTCCTCCCATCTTTACTTCCAAGACACTGACTTTTTATACCCAATCATGTCACTGACCTTTTGTCAAGTTGCAAAAAATGTTCTTTCAGCTGTTTCTTGTTAGGCCCTTTTCACATGGGGCGGATGTCGCTTTGCTCAATGGGCGATCTGTCCGCTGCTCCCTAACTGAGCAGAGTGGGTGGATGACAGGTTTGCGAACCTGCTCTGCTCTATGGGTGGTCAGGTGTAAACAAACTGGCTGTCTGTTTACACCTGACTGTCCTCCATTCCGATCCGCCTAGATGGAAGGGAACATATCTCCTTCAGTTTTTTTTTTTTTTTTTCCGGATCAGGCTGGAGGTAGGCTGTCTGTTTACAGATGCTGGTCCATAAGAATACAAGGACCACCTGATCATAAATGCTTGAAAAACTGACAGGCGGACCTGATCGGATCACCAGTGTGAAAAGGGCCCAAGTACCACTTACTTTGCCAGCTTTCAGTTTCAAAATTACCTTATTGTTTTCTTAAAATGGTACATTTTCTCATTTTAAACATTTGATATGTTTTCTATTTTCTATGGTGCATAATATGTGGGTTTATAAGATCTGCGCATTATTGCATGTCTCAAATTCCACTGTTTGTATGTAGATTTTACACAGCATCCTCAAGTCTTTTGGAATTGGGGTTGTATATAGAATATAGAAGACTGCTTACTATCATGTCTTTTATCTTTTCCGGGTGATTTAGAACTTGAGGTTTTTGGCTTCTTTACAGAGCCACTTGGTGTTGGTGGTCTGGAGTTTCCTTCATTGTCCCGACTGCTGCTCTCTGAAGAGCCTTCCTCGTCCTGAGATGATGTGGCAGCAACAGTGAAATCAGACTTCTCCTTTGAGACCTGATAAAGCTCCTAAAAGGAAAAGACAGCAAAAAACACAAAACACCACATTAGCTAAAACAAAAGACGGAAAATAACTTATTGACAGAGTGGGACCAATAGAAGGAAGAAAAGGTGCCTGCCTTGGGAGCACCAGTAGAAGGGACAGAATCAAAGCTGGATCCCTCATATTTTACTTAAACCCTGCATTACAATGATGGAGCCTTTTCCAGTAAAAACAGAGCTTGGCCCTTTCCCCTCTTCCCAAGCTGAGCTACTGGTCTATTAATACAATGGGCATCCTTAATGACCAATATGGACACACTGGAAAATAGAAGGTAGGCAAGCCCCGCTTTTTACGGGAAAAGATGGGTAGGTTTAAATATAAATATAATTTTGACATGCTTGTTTCTGCTGAGAGTTCTATCCTCTGGTCATACCCTTTTTGGAATTTGGCTGTGTGAATTACTGGAAGGATGGACGGTTCCTATTTTGATGTAAGATCTAAATAAAGTCTATTTGTTACCCTTTTACACTCCACTGAATTTGTCCTTTCTGCCCTATAAGGAGCGGGGGAGATTGAAGTGGATACATCCGCAAGGAGGGAGCTGAAATTACCCTGGAATGCTTGTATTGCTGGTTTAAGCAGAGAGAGGGTAATTGAACTGAATCCTACTAGAGCGTGGAATCACTAAATTGAGCACATTATCACAGATTGTGTAATGTGCTGTGGATTTATTTCATGAGTGGAAGGTCACTGATTGTTCACTTATAATTTGATGCATTAAGTATTTAGTGTGGTATTCATGCTTATTTAGATTCACAGAGTGCTGTGTGTGTTTTGATTCATTCAATATATTTAAAATATACAATTAAAAAAATTATTATTTTTTTCCTCACGAGTGGTTTGCATGAAATCAATATTTTTCTGATTAAGAGTAATGCACTATATGTAGTTTTTTTTATTTTTGAGGTATCCTGGATTTTTCCACGATATTTGGAAGATTGAATAATAATTTTTATGGACACTTTGGACATTTATAGAAAAATTAATAGGGTATTGCATACAGGTTTTATAGAAAAGGTTTGTGATATAGGTTTAAATATAGTTTCAGCTGCCCATTTCTATGGACAGACTGATCTGCTGTCATCCAGATTTCACTAAAAGACAGCTTATACATTTTTTTTACATCAGGTGCTCAGTTGAATCAACCAATTCTCTTAAAGATTTACTTTAAAAGTTTAAAGCCTGATTTTATAGGTACATTTGATATTTTATGCTCAAAGACCAGGGCATATTATTGGTCGCAATCCAGCACTGCTGCTGTTCAAGAACTGCAATACAGGAAGCTCAACTGACATCCATTGTCCACTGTGTATGTATATCAGATGCCATTGCAGTATATAAGCCACATTCATATGTTAAAATGCATACCATAAGGACCTTCACAAGAAGTCTAGTTACCTGTCCAGATATTTTCTGTTCCTCCTACCTTTAGTTGCTGTAAAGTAGTTGCTGTTTTCCAGTCTTTGTCATCCCGGAAGCGGGTACAACGTGGAAAACGAATAGAAATTCCACCAGCTGTGTGGGCCTCTGCCTTAGAGAACTCTGCTCCCGTGATCTCCCAAATAGGGGCATTCTAAAAATAGAAGACAATAACTTTTCAAGAAAATTGGTTAATTGGCAGCTTGATAATATATTGAGTACACATTCCCCCATCTGCACTCATTACAACAGCTGTGAGAGTGTAGGGGCATATAATGACTACACTGACTTTGAGTAATAGGACATCCATTAGATTTGATGGAAAACTGTAGGGAAATCACGATTGTTCTTCGGCCTTAGCCTATACCTCTAAGAGCTTGTCAATCTGCAATGGAACTGCAGGACAGGTGGAAAAAGTCCCAAAACCTCATGATCAGAAGACTTCTAGCACACATACATTTATTTATTAGGTTTTAGCATTTGTGAACTGTTCAGTGTATGCAAGCACTCTAATACACTGGCAGTTTAAATACAGGCATAGCCAGAAGAATTTAATGCAGAACTCCATCCTCACCTGTTATTGGCCCATCTTCTTCTGCCTCTGTTGCTTGGTGGAAAACAGTTTTCTGCTCCTAATCCCCATACTGTGTACCATCACATTTCCATTTAATGGCTTTGCAGCAGGCACACTTCCTGTCTGTTATGGCCAGCTTTCCACAAGACAAACCCACTGTGTGCCATTTCAATAAAATTTGTATGAATGTGTGAATAGGCCTTAAATGCTGTGCTGCTCTCTGATGTGCTGTGTTCACCTCACAGTGCATAGCAGGATGAAATGATGTGTGGGTGGCAATGTGGTAAAAACACTCAGCATGACAGCTCGTGAGGAGAGAAATGCTGATAACCGGCATTTCCTTATTTACATTCGATCAGCTGTGATTGGACACAGCTGATCACATGACCGAGCCGACATCTTCGGCTCTTTCCACTGATCGGTGATCTGCTGTGTCCGAGGGACACAGTGCACCACCAATCGCCGCACGCCCCCGGAGCCGCGCATGAGCAATTAGAGTGGGAGGACGTCATATGACATCCTCCCAGAACGAGAGAACCGCCTTGTGCCCGTCATTTCCTTATATGGTGGGCGGGAGGCGGTTAAGCGAGAGGTCATGGTTTATATATTTTAATTTTTATATAAAGTAGATTTATTTGCATATGACTGGCTATAGGAGCGCTGTACACTAATACAAAAAAAATAAAAAGATAGTTGCCCTTTTAGGGTTAGACGTTAAAGATGATGATATTAATTGTAATATTTTATGTTCTCTCATGATCTGTTATTTTTGTTAGAGGATTAAAAAACAACTCGCATCAAAAATTCTTTTCTTGTTTTACCTGAAGAGAGCTGAGAGCAGGATCATTGATTTTTTAGGGTCCTTTCACATGGGTGTTTACGGATGAAATACAGACAGCAATTAATCTCTACTGGCTTGCAGATATAAAAAACAGATGATCATCTGTTTACATCTGCCTACTGTGCCCATTCAGGTCCTTTTTTTTTTTTCTGTAACCATAACAAGGCTGTATCCCTTCCGTTTTTAAACAAATCTGAACAGATGCTGTCCATTTTCAGGCAAGAAACATGTTTGTTTATAGTTTTGTCACCTATGATTAGCTTCTTAAAAAAAAAAAAAAAAAAAAAATCCTAAACTGAAGAGAGATGTGCAAACTGATGTAAGCCAAGATAACTACAATCAGTATTCATCAATATTTTCTTAACAAAAATAATGACTAAACTGATGAAAGGATTCAAGTGCAAAGTGGATAATTACCTCAGGATCCCGTATTATAAAGTCAGGGAAATAGTTCTTGTTGATTTTCAGCCATGAAGGAATTTTAGATGGATCCTTGATAAACAAGATTAGAGAAAAAAAAAGCTAATTTGTAAAATGCAAAACTGGATAGATCCCTAAAAGAGCACTACAATTGTCTTGCTAATGGAGATATGCCCAATGTATACATGCAAACACTTTCTTTTTGAGAATGGAGTGTGTAAAATTATACTCATAAAATGCAATAAAATCTTAAGTTTTTTTTTTTTTTAAAGCTCAACTCCAACAGGTTTCCTCCTCCATGCTGTGTGATTGGTCCCCTGAAGCCTGTCCTTTAAAAGGCTCTGTAGCTGACGATATCATCACAAAGTTAGGCATGTATTACAGATTATTCCTCTAGCCCTAAACAAACAGGGCACTGCAAGGGAATTTGTGTAATTCCTGAAGTTCAGCTTTAAAATACAATAAAGGATCAAGAATTCTCCATACTCCCACTGCTCACTATCCTCGCACAGTTGCAGCGATCCCTTGAACCAGGTGCGCTCTAGGACCAGGAGGAAGAAATGGGGGGATCCAGTACCACAAGTCACCTGTACATTACAAAGACATTTCAACAGATAGAAAGCGAAATGTGAGGCAGTTGTGAACTTGTTTTTCACTTTTTACTGCTGCCCCCAGTGCTGAAAACTTATATAACCTGCCAAGGTTCTAGCATACAATTTCAGTGTGAGGTGAAATTAGCCTTTATTCAATAGATAAAGCACAGTTACACAGTGATCATTTATACTCCCCGAATCTAACCTTACTGATCTTGACCATATCCAGCTCCTTCTGTAAACGAGCGAGCGTTGCATCATCATAACCACTTGAGCATTTTGTCACTGTGCACCACTTGCCACTTTCTGTGTCATAACATCCCATAAGGAATATAGACATTATACCACCTGGAAAGGTAAAATATCAAGTATATAGTACTATAACAATATTTTGTAACAAAACATAGGTACTATACTGACTTCTACAGTCATTTACCATTTGCTCCTTTTCCATAAAATGCCCCCAAAACGGCAAGATCAGCAGTGTCTGCCATAGCGCCTTCATTCAAATAATCCTTTTTCACTTTCAGCCAGTGACGTTTTCCTGGCTCATACATTGACTGGAAGAGGATACATTTAACAGGAATTAAAGAATAAGTCAACACATTTACAACATTTCATTTTAATATAGAAAATATTATTTGTCAACTTCTTTTCACAAAGCTAAATGTGATTATGGTTTTTTGTACCTTATGTGTTTTTCCTAGGACCACGTGACTCCACAGTCTGCCTTCGCTTAACCTTCCTTTAAAGTGGTATTAAACCCATTTTTTAAAAACCTGCTGACAGGAAGGCTTTTTATGGCAGAAGAGACCCTATCGATCTCTTCTGTCATAAATTCTTCCTCCGTCTGTTAGCTGTAAAGTACATTGAGCCATGCATGTGTATCTCACCATACAACTACACGTGTGGGAGTATGCTCCTGCTCCCTGTCCTTTGTAGATTTGACAGGGGGGGCTCCACTGTCAATCAACACAGCAGGGCTGAGTGGAGGGCATTTTGCTAAACTTACTACAGGAGATGGAGACACGACTGTGAAAAGGGATGGAAAGGGGAGTGTGTTCCTTGGTTGTGCACATTGTAATTCTGACAGTTATGCTCCACTGTCAAATCAATATAGCAGGGATGGGTTGGGGGGTGTGGTGGTAAATGGACAATAGGAGATATGTCCTGTATTTCCAAGTAGATATGCCAGGGATACAAGCTGACAACACAAGGAATTACATGGCTCTGCATCATCAGTTTGAATTTGGAACCCAGGGAAACTTGTATGCTCACCAGTAGTTTGTAGCAACATGCACAAAAAAGTTACAGGCAACATTTACTAAGCAGCATATGAACAATAAAAATAGTGATTTTTAATTTTTTTTTTTTGGGGGGGGGGGGGGGCATTCACTTTAGGCTTTTATATTATGGGAAAAAATTAAATGGCAAAACAGGACAAATCTTAGATTAAAAATGTTAATTTTCCATTCTTTCTAAAGATGTCCTCTGTTGTATCTTACTTCTAAAATCAGACTTTAAGGCAATGCAGGCACCAGTTTTTTTCTCATAGAGATTAAGGGGTACGTAAATACTAACAATGAACTTCTCTCCTTTGCTTCCTTTTGGTCTGTTCAATAAACCAGCGTCATTTGTTTGACAAGTATAAAAGCTACAGGTTGAGCTTGCCAGAAATCTTGTTTGCTAATTACTTCCTCTCCTGAACTGTTATCAGCAATATTGTCTTGAGGACTACAAGATCCTACTCATCTATGTTATTGACAGATGAAGTTTCTGGTAATTGTGTTCTAGTGTAGGGGGTATTGAGTGTTGTTATACAAGGACAGGAAGCAGGTAACAGGTAAAAAAGAGGGAGGGAAAAAAAAAAAAAAAAAAAAGCCACACCCTATACAACCACTACATGTAATGATGAATAGGTTATTTGGCTACACTTTAAAGCAAACTTGTGCATTGCCAGATTAACTCACAATTCTGCATCCAAAGTCATACTAGAATTGTCAATGCCAAAGCACATGACTTTGCCAACCATGGTAACCAATCATGTCCGCACAACGTACCCTCCCCCAAGGCTAGCACTATTTGTGATAAACTCCTGCTCTCTGCCCATCGCTGGCATTGCGAAGAAATCAAGCGCATGCACAAGGAGTTGCTGAGCACTGCGACTAGGGCCCTGTGACAGCTAGCACTTCTGGAAAAGGGAGAGGCAAAATGACATCACCCCAGCAGACTGCAGAGCGAATTTAGGCACCGCTAGGATGCTGGGAAAGTTGCGGAGACTATATATGCCCTACCTGTTCTACTGTGTGTAACCAGATGGAAAATAAAAGCGACATTCCCAATGCTAGTTTATCTGGGAACTTGAGCTTTTATATAGGATAAAGTTTGATCTGTAAGTTCAGTTCCTCTTTATTGGCCTCCTTCCCAGCAGTGCACTCACCTTTTCTTCACTACACTGCCACTTGTTCACATCAAAACCAAGGGAAAAAAAGAAAAAAAAAAAAAAAAAGGCCCTGGAAAAGTTCTAGGTCACTAAAATTGGAGTTTAGTCTCTCTCCACCCCCACCAGGCCACTAAAGGTAAAGACAAACCTTTTCCTAAAGTAAACAAATGCATCAAACGACTGGCTTTGTTTTGGGCATCAAACTGCAAATTAGCTACAATTCTATAAATGAGAGGTTTTGTACATTTACTCATTTTTATTTGGATTTAAAGAGAAAAAGAACAAAAAAAGTTTACACCAGTAATACTAATATAAAGCATGTTTTGAAGCATTTTAACAGCAGATTAGACATACCTTTACATCTTTTAGCACAAGGCCTTCTAAACCTTCCCTGATTACTCGAGTTATCATGTCTGCCAAATCTGATGCTTTCTGTGAAGAATGACAAAAACTATTTCAAAATGTGAAATGAAAACTTAACAGTCCTACGCATACACAGGAACATTTGTTTTACATCATATGAAAATTTCTTTGAATATGTAAAAAATTTTATATATATATATATATATTTATATATATATATATATATATATATATATATATATATATATATATATATATATAAATAATCGGAATAGTAAAGTGCTACACATAAAAAAAAATTAGTAATTGCAAAATCTGAAAATCAAACAATATGGTAAAATGCATTATGAATGTAATGAGCTGAGTGAAACTGCAAAGTGCATCAACTAAAAGCATAAAAATATCAGCTAAACACCTCAAAAAGCAAATGCCAAACAATAAAGTGTATCGCTGGCAGAATCTAAATACAATAATGTTTGTTGTCATCCATGAAGTGCAGTAGTAAATGTTACAATAAACATATAAAATCTGAGATATATACCGTATTTTTCGCTCCATAAGACACACTTTTTTCCCCCCAAAAAAGGGGGGAAAATGTCAGTGCGTCTTATGGAGCGAATATGGAGCGGCCTGTCCGGTATTTCCACCGCCGCCGTGTCAGAATACCAGGCCAGCCGCTCAGCTGTGCAGCGGGACCTTACCTGCTCCTCTATCCAAGCGGCGCGCTGTCTTCCCGGCTTCTGTAGTGTGGGCGCTCGGCTTAACAGCTGAGTGCCAAGTGCGCATGCGCAAGAAGCGGTGCACTTTGTAAATGGTAAGGCGGCACCTGGGACACATGACAGGTCCCAGAAGCCGCCGGACCAATCACAAAGCGCAGCGCTTCTCGCTCATGCGCACTGGGCACCCGGCTGTCAAGCCGAGCGCCCACACTACAGAAGCCGGGAAGACAGCGCGCCACTAGATAGAGGAACAGGTAAGGTCCTGCTGCAGATCGGACACTAACCAAAGAACAACTCTGCGGAAGTAAGAGCGGATACCTGTCAAATTTAGGTACCCGCCCCCCCCCCCCCCCCTCCCCAAAGGTCAGCAGTCATCTCCTGTACTGTCCACAGTCTCTGGTCATCTCCTGTACTATGTCTGCAGCCTCTGGTCATCTCCTATGCTATGTCCACAGTTTCTGGTCATCTCCTGTACCGTGTCCGCAGTCTCTGGTCATCTCCTGTACTATGTCTGCAGCCTCTGGTCATCTCCTATGCTATGTCCACAGTTTCTGGTCCATCTCCTGTACTATGTCTGCAGTCTCTGGTCATCTCCTGTACTATGTCCGCAGTCTCTGGTCATCTCCTGTACTATGTCCGCAGTCTCTGGTCATCTCCTGTACTATGTCCGCAGTCTCTGGTCATCTCCTGTACCGTGTCCACAGTCTCTGGTCATCTCCTGTATTATGTCTGCAGTCCATTGGTTCAGAATATTTTTTTCCCTGTTTTCTGCCTCGAAAACCTAGGTGCGTCTTATGGTCAGGTGTGTCTTATGGAGCGAAAAATACGGTAAATAGGATAAAACTCTACATCAATGTCCGTGGTTAAACGTGCTATTTATATAGTCAAATATCCATAAATTGAAGCAATTGTCCGTGAAACCATAAGGCGCAGTATAATTAAGGGGCAGAGTGCAACTGTGCTGATGATCACACAAAAGAATCTATCACCCTTCTCAGATGTACACTCACCAGTGCTGAAAGGCTAAACTGCTAAGCACTTAGCTAGACTACTAGTTTTACTTTGTATTCCTACTGTAGTACCGCTAATATCAGGGAAAAACCAACACCATTTCCATTAACCATAAGAGGGAACAATAAATGGATTTTCAGGTATTCAGGGAAACATGCACAGTAAGAAAAGTAACAATCTGAAAGATAAACAGGACAACCAAATTACTATTTGCAACATTCAGCCCTTTCCTCCAAAAGCAGGCAGGTGTTTCTCCCGCTTGTTATCATAATCCTTGCTTAAATGTCCAGCAACTACATGGATATCCCACTTACCGTTACATGTTTCATTTCTGAGAACAGAATATGGTTTGGAATTTCCACCATATTTTCACGCATAAACTTTCGTCTCTCAACCAATGGCCTATTACAAAAAGAAAAAAAAAAAAAAAAAAATCTGCAAATGGATTTGTAGGGGGGAAAACACAAATTAATGAAATATGCAAACAGAAAAAACTCAGCGAGCGCTACACTGTGATAGCAGCTAAATGCACCAAAAAAAAAAAAAAAAAAAAAAAGGAACCACAAATCCTCTCAATAGACAAATAAAACCTTAAAATAGTGCAGCACTTAAAACATATAAACCAAACGTATTGAAAATATATAGAGAAGAAAGAGAAGTGCGCCAGACTAAGTGCAGTATGAATATAAAAGTTTATTGCACACAAAATTATAAAAAACTCACAAGAAGTGGGTAGATATCAGGCATCAATATATAAGGAGGAGGATGTCATCTGTGCTGCACCTCACAAATGGATGGCTGTAATGTCAAGGTGTTGCACGGCTGGCGCTGTAGGCGGGTCCCACAGGAGGAAGCGAGGATGGCAGGCGCAGTAACCGGGAGTCGCGGCGCAGATAAGAACCGGGATCCAGGGCAGGCACTGCTGATCTCTCACATCAGCGTGGGTACAGTAGCCAGCTTGAGGCACATCCAAGATGGCCACCGGGCAGGAAATGACATCAGAACGTTGCTGGGAATCCTCCAAGGGGGCGGTGACGCGTTTCTAGGCAACCTGCCTTTTCATCAGAGGTCTGATGAAAAGGCAGGTTGCCTAGAAACGCGTCACCGCCCCCTTGGAGGATTCCCAGCAACGTTCTGATGTCATTTCCTGCCCGGTGGCCATCTTGGATGTGCCTCAAGCTGGCTACTGTACCCACGCTGATGTGAGAGATCAGCAGTGCCTGCCCTGGATCCCGGTTCTTATCTGCGCCGCGACTCCCGGTTACTGCGCCTGCCATCCTCGCTTCCTCCTGTGGGACCCGCCTACAGCGCCAGCCGTGCAACACCTTGACATTACAGCCATCCATTTGTGAGGTGCAGCACAGATGACATCCTCCTCCTTATATATTGATGCCTGATATCTACCCACTTCTTGTGAGTTTTTATAATTTTGTGTGCAATAAACTTTTATATTCATACTGCACTTAGTCTGGCGCACTTCTCTTTCTTCTCCATTTACCACAGAGTCCGGTTTACTCTAGAAAGTGCAAGCCTCACGACGGTGTCTACATTGCAGCGTTGTATATATATGTATACACATATATATACACCATCTATCTCAATCCAGTACTGTTTGCATCACAAGGCCTTTTTTCCCCTCCTTTCCCTACCCCCTCCCCTCCCCCCTTCCCTTTCCTCACCACTAAAGCTGCATCATCTACTTGTTGCCCCTTTATTACTGGCATGTACGATTATATATCTTAATTTCTGTTTACTGGATTATTTTGTTTAAGGTTTGCTGAGTGAACGTTATGTCCACTACAAATTCTCTTGCGCCAATTGCATTTTTATTTTTGTATTGAAAATATATATACTGTAATGTAATCAGCAGAATTCCATATTATGCATTACACTAAAAAACAATATCATGGAAATGTCCCATAAATTCATGCAAAGTATGATGGGAATATACTGAGTGCGATCTCTATGTTGAACAGGTAAACAGTTCTAGAATCAGGTGCACATTATAATGATCCCAGCGTGAAGTAATAATAATCCGGTGGTGTGCGGTGAAAATAGTAGGGTTGCAAACTCACCCGAAGCGCAATCTTAATGCGCGTTAGATATATAAATCAGCCTGATACTCACCCCTCTCATGAAGTAGGAGAGGGGAGATCCTCAGGCTGATTTATATATCTAACGCCCATTAAGATTGCGCTTCTGGTGAGTTTGCAACCCTACTATTTTCACCGCACACCACCGGATTATTATTACTTCACGCTGGGATCATTATAATGTGCACCTGATTCTAGAACTGTTTACATGTTCAATATAGAGATTGCACTCAGTATATTACCATCATACTTTGCATGAATTTATGGGACATTTCCATATTGTTTTTTGGTGTAATGAATATTATATGGAATTCTGCTGATTACGTTGCAGTATATATATTTTTCAATACGATTGGTTTATATGTTTAAGCACTGCACTATTTTCTGGTTTTATTTACGAAGTAATGAAATGTTTTGGTGACACTCACCTGTCCATTAAGCTAACTCCATTAAAATATATGCAGTCGAAAACAAAGAGGCATACATTGGCATCCTGGAAAGCAGCTTTCTGCAAAAAGGATTACATTTATCAGTATAAAACTAAAATATAATTAAAACACAAAGAAAAATGAAGGGCATACCAGTAACTAAAAGGTTAAAAAAAAGTGTGTACAAAAAGCTGAAAACACGTAAAGCAGAAGTTAAAAGGTATGATTTTCTTGCATTGTTACATTGATCCAGCTTGGACTAATGTGAGCATGCAAATCTCATACCTGGCTGATCCTTATAGATTGTGGAAATCACTGTATTAATTGCCACGACTACAGTGATAGCAGGAATCTTCCAGGTCCAATGCCGAGCATCTGCCCTTCTGCATAGTAACCACAGCAGCACCTCTAGGATCTGGCTCATGCCTAATCTATCTTATCATTCCTCTATGCCATCCTCTATCCCCCGTTCCCCCATCTTTCTCTGCTTTCTACTGCCCCCCAAACAACCCCTCTCTCGTAAACCCTGTTTCGCCATTAAAAAAAAAAAAAAAAAAAAGGAAGAAGAACGATCTAACCCATTTAGACTTTACATACTTTTTTTTACAAATCTCATCATTTGTGAACATAGAACTCTTTCTCTGCCAAAACCCCTACAACATTAAATATCTTCTGAAAGCAGACACCCTGTAGAATAAAACTGTGGTAGTTTCATACTTTTATACGTTACATGGTATTAGTGCAACAGTTTGTTCAGCGCAGAGTTTCAGCAATGTGAATTTCAGCAAAGTGAGATGGCAACAAAGTTTAGTACCCTAAATTTTCTATAGGCGATGCTTTAAAAGCCCATATAAGTCATCAGTTTAGAGTTAATCAATGGCCCTAGAATTAGTGTTCTCATTCCAGTGTGCATCGCAATATGTAACGTGCGCAACCAACAATTTCATGAATAGGTGTAAAAATTGCTCAAAGGGTTTTCTTTTGGAGAAGGAATGGGGGGGGGCATAAGATTCTAAAGCGACATTAAAGCTTTGGGGCTTTTTTTTTTTTTTTTTTATAAACATGTTATACTTACCTGCTCTGTGCAATGGTATGCACAGAGCAGCCCCAATCCTCCTCTTCTGGGGTCTCCTGATGGCACTCCTGGCCCCTCCTCTTCTGCAGGAAAGCAGCTTTCCATGGGGGCACCCGTGCGGGCTCGCTCCCAAGCTGCCCAGTCTGCGTCCACTGACAGAGTGGGCAGCTCAGCCCCGCCCCGCCTCCTCCCTCCACACAGCATCAGTCTGCTCTCGTGCACATTGCTGGATTAGATTGGGCTCAGGAAAGAATAAGGCGGGTGGGGTGGGAATTGTGCAGTACAGAAGGTTTTTCCCCTTATTGCACAGAATGCATTATAGGTGAAAAACCTTAAGGCTTTAGAATCACTTTAAGTCATTTTTTTTTATTTAATTTTTTCCACATTACACTTTATCTCGTGTAGTATATTTTTCGAGACAGGTTCTCTTTAATGCCGTTTCACACTGATGTGATGCGGGATGCTCAGTGAATTCTGTGCTTCTTTCCTGCACCACATCACTAATAGCACTCCGTTCATGCGAACCACTGGGGGTGTCTATGTTACGGACGCCCCAAAAATGGCTCGCACAATGCAGTGCGAGTGGCTGAATTGGATCGCATACAAAAGAAGGTGCAGTTAGAGCAATACAAAATTAATTACTCAAATTGCACTGCAAAGAATCACATGTGATTTGAACAGGAATGTGGTGCAATTCCTGTACAAATCACATGCGGTTTCCTGCACTGCAATAGTGTGAACTGGCACTAATGCAGGCCACACATGGGTCGAATTCTGAAACAATTTTCTTTTGAAAATCTTTTCTAAGAATTTTAGTTTGAATTTCACACCAGTAAAAGACAATAGAAATGGCCGATTTTCGAACGACCATCGAATTTGAGTGATGGAGCATGTTGGAACTTTTTTGAAAAACAAACGAATTTCTAATCAATGATGGAAGAATTGTGGGAGAAATGTAATTGAAAAAGAAATGAGTATTATCTGTGACCTGGAAATAAAAGAAAATTCATGACCACGAAAATGTATTTCTGTAGCAATATGAGGTGAAACTAAAGCTTTGGTTGGTCAAGTTTTGAAATCAATGGTGGCACTATTGGATTACAAAACGTACACAAATTCTGATTTTCTAAAGAAAATTTGTTCAGAATTCGACCGATGTATGGCCTGCATTAATGAGACTTTAGGTGAATAGTCTCAGGGTATGTGGAGGTGATCAGGTGGCTGTACAGCTGACTAATCACTTCCACCTGACAACCGATAGTTGGCTATTCAGATTAAACACACACTACAGCAGACGGGAGTGTGTGTAAAACTCTCTTCTGCTGCTAAGATATGCCATATATTGATGGCAACAAAAGTGTTAAATCTGTCATTGCTACAGAAACTTGAAAAACTCCATTACTGCATTATATATTGCTATATTGATCTTCTGTATACACCTTGTATAGGACCATAAAATTGTGCCTTTTAACTTTTGCTTCCTCTCTTCCTCTGTAATACCTTTCCAAGCATTATTGATAAACACATCTGAAGGAAAATTTACCTTGTGAACCCCTAATGTTCCAAATGGAAGGGGTTTGCCAGTCTTAGTATCAATAAGAAGCACTTCAGAGTCCAAAATTATGCTATTTCCACCAGGGAAAGCTTTGGGAATATAGTCTTTGAAATGAGCAACCTGTATACAAACATATTTAGTATCTCATTAAATAGATATACACTACACACACACACACACACTTTCAAACACCTGCATGCAGTTCAATCCACTGAGTTTTCTATTAAAAAAAAAAAAAACCACACAAAAAAATAAAAACAAAAACGAATAAACTAGGTACTATGAACTTTTTGCAATACCAGGTAATGATACATGCCCTCCACACAAGCTTCATAGGACCCATACTGAATATAACTGAATTCATCATATATGGAAGATGCTACTATTTAACTACCTGGTTTCATGCTAGAGGGCAGTCAGCTATCTCAGAGGCGCTAAGAAGATGCTTTCATACTCTGGGATATTGCTGGAAAGAAGAACTGCAATTTCCCTCCGAGAGTATTCACACATGATCCTTAAAAAAAAAAGGAAACTTTTTAAAGGCTAAGTTCACCATTGGGAACATGTTGTATGTTCCACCTGTTTTTAGGGTGGAACATGTAACATGCTCCAGCCCCTGAAGCCTCTCCCCTCCCCACAGCAGGCTGGGCATCTTCTCTCCACACCAGCTGTCACAATTTGAAAAAAAGAGCGTAGCCAAGCAGGGTTCCGCCTACACGGCCATGTCATTCATTCACAAGGGCACTGGTGAGTGCTCACATAGTCCACTGAGCTGCCTTGACTGAAGTAACTGCCTGCATCAAGACGTATGGGCAGAGAGCTACCCTAACAGTCTGCAAGAGCCCGACATTGATCGTGGGTGCAATGATATACAAGCTCCTAAGCAAAACAAAAAAAAATGCATTTATAATATTTTTTATTAAAGGTGAATTGACTGTCCATACCCATCTAGAAGTTCTCATTGGAAGGCAGAGAATAAGACAAGGAAAAAAAAAATACACATCACACAAAAAACTAAAAGGACTTGCCTTATGGGGAAGAACGGGCTTCAGGCTACGGCTAAAATAGCTGAAGTGATCACCATTTTTGTGCACTTGGACTCGTTCTCCATCGTACTTTATCTCTGCATACATTCCATTTGGACATTTCTTCATAGCATACTCTACAGATTTGCAGGCTTCAGCCTATAAAGGTGGGAATACAAGCAACAGTTGGAACATTTTTGAATAAAACTTTTTTCTATTCCTACACAAACCTCTTTTTAGGAGTTTCTTTCACAAGTCGCAATATAAACCCTTTACGCAGTGAGATTACTTTAATCTGGCATTCTGGGGTCTGTCACTAAAATAGAACACACCAGTAATTTGCAACTGCAAGCCTCCATGGACTGCAGCAGTACACATTTTTAAGATTGCCAGGCAGAAGCACGACACTGTCAATTTGTAAGAGCTTAAAAGAGGCAGACTATCTCCTGTGATTTTTTTTTTTGTGCATCACATTGGTGGCCACTAAGGACTGCAATTGACAAGCACTGTTCCAGAATACTATACTAATAAAGAAGTATAAAATAAAAATGATCTGTAACTGAATATAAATTTTTGATATGCTGAATTTCCTCTCTCTACCCAAGCCTGTTATAAAATGCACAGATTTCTTTTCCACGCTGCACAGATCTTATATAATGCAGCAATTGAAACTATTTTAGTTGACAACTGGATGCCAGATTAAGGTGATTGCTTAACACAGCTATACCTTTTTTAACAATATGAAGCTAGACAATGCTGAAATTGTGAGTTAATCTGCTTTGAGGACTCTCTTCCCATGAATCATTTAGAGCAGCTACTTGAAAAATGGTTCCTCCTTTCCAGTGTAAAGGGAATAAATTGTTAAATATGCCTTCTGCAAAGTCAAAACCTTACTGATAGAAAATTGATTAGGTCACACATTTTCCCAGTCTTCCATCACAGCAGATACTTGTATTCATAAAATAAGGTTTAATCTGTCAGCTAGGTCATCTCTCTGTATTGTCCCAACTCTATGGTTTGGGTGGTACCAGTGGGTCTTTAAACCATTTGTCTACTTGTTTTCTGGTCTACTACAGAATCTGCATTGTTATTGCTATCCAATGGCACCAAGTTTATTGAAAAGAAACAGATATGTAATTTTGAAAGCGTATTCACATGCTAAGTGGTCTAAATCTGTGTGCATTACTCATACTGAGCAATTCGCTTCCTTTTCATTTTCCAGCTTACTTTGGATATATAAAAGGGTACAAAATGCCTGGTTCCTATTAGACACTTTCACTGCTACCCACATCAGGCATCAATACAGTTTTCTCAGATCAATCTACATTTAGAAAAAATACTTTATTTGTTCACGGTTTATACTGTATATTTTGCAAAGCATTATCCTGGGAGTCAAACAATACAACCTTAAATTAATATAACTAAGTCAAAACTGGAAATACAGGCACCCATTTATGGAGTACAGGTATGTACTTGGATAAGGTTCATACCAACATAGGCTGAACAGGCGTCATAAGCGTAGCCTTTATGCTAAGTGTGCGTTTCATGCCTGGTGCTTGCTGCTGGTTTTGTAGCACACGTTCCACCACATCTCCCAAATTACGAGATGCTTTGAATGCATCATATGCATTAGGATCAAGAGAATCAAGTCTAGAAAAAGAAGAAAACAACATTAAATATTAACCAAAGCAGTCACCGTTCAGCAAAAATACACAACTCAGAATTAAAAAGGGAGTGTATAGTCCTTTCAACTTTTTTGCTACTGTACTGTTATGATACTGTAAATCAAAAATTGAAATCTGGAATGAAAGAAAAGTTTGCCATGTAAGCACAGAAGAACCAGGCCCCTACAGGTGGGCCGTTAAAGAAAAAAAGAGGCTGCAAGGAGCCAAGCAAGCCACACAGTAGACATCTCAGAACAGTGAGGACAGGTAAGTATGTGATTTTTAGAGAGGCCAGGGGAGGGCATTGGGTCCCATTAAGGGTATCTGCACTAAAACAGCCTTTATTCCTTCACCTGCCCTACCTTCATGGATGGCTCTCCCCAATCAACTAATCAAATGTGTACATTTTTACACAACACAGAAGTTAGTCAAATCAGATTCAGAAAGACAAGTGTTATACTACACTTAAAAAGGATATCATCACCTTTAGGAACATTGTAATTTTACACCCATAATTTAGGGTGTAACATGCTCCTATATACTCACCTCGTGCCACCAGTGCTCCCCTGTGACAGCAGGTGGCGCATGTTCTCCCAGCACACTTTTTGAAAACCGCATGGCTGTGTGAATAAATGAACTACAAGTATCGGCCACTGTAGTTGACAGCTTGTAGTTCTCAATGAACTGTGAGGGTGCTGGTGAGCACTCACAGTTCATTGACTCTCCTTGCAATTCAGTAACTGTCTGACTGTATAGGAGGTATATATTGCTGACCATATGATGACCCCCGGGGGACTCGGGGGAACAGTAAGTACTGTATACAACATGTCATATCACTATAATGGAGTACAGGGGAGCTGGGATATACATTACTCAGTAATGTATATCCCAGCTCCCCTGTACTCCATTATAGTGATATGACATGTATACAGTAATGTATATCCCAGCTCCCCTGTACTCCATTATAGTGATATGACATGTATACAGTAATGTATATCCCAGCTCCCCTGTACTCCATTATAGTGATATGACATGTATACAGTATGTATATCCCCCTCCCCTGTACTCCATTATAGTGATATGACATGTATACAGTAATGTATATCCCAGCTCCCCTGTACTCCATTATAGTGATGACATGTATACAGTATGTATATCCCCCTCCCCTGTACTCCATTATAGTGATATGACATGTATACAGTAATGTATATCCCAGCTCCCCTGTACTCCATTATAGTGATATGACATGTATACAGTAATGTATATCCCAGCTCCCCTGTACCCCATTATAGTGATATGACATGTATACAGTAATGTATATCCCAGCTCCCCTGTACTCCATTATAGTGATATGACATGTATACAGTAATGTATATCCCAGCTCCCCTGTACTCCATTATAGTGATATGACATGTATACAGTAATGTATATCCCAGCTCCCCTGTACTCCATTATAGTGATGACATGTATACAGTAATGTATATCCCAGCTCCCCTGTACTCCATTATAGTGATATGACATGTATACAGTAATGTATATCCCAGCTCCCCTTATAGTGACGACATGTATACAGTAATGATTACTGTATACATGTCATATCACTATAATGGAGTAGAGGGGAGCTGGGATATACATTACTGTATACATGTCATATCACTATGTTCTCCCTGTGCCTGCGTGGGTTTCCTCTGGGTACTCCGGTTTCCTCCCACACTCCAAAGACATGCTGGTAGGTTAATTGGATCCTGTCTAAATTGTCCCTAGTATGTGTATGTAGGAATGTGAGTTAGGGACTTTAGATTGTACGCCCCTTGAGGGTTAGGGACTGATGTGAATGTACAATATAATATATATATATATATATATATATATATATATATATATATATATATATATATATATATAATAAAGCGCTGCGTAAATTGACAGCACTATATAAGTACCTGAAATAAAAATAAATAAATATGGACTGGGTAATGTGTTAGGAATGTAAGGATGCCCCATCGTTTGATGGAAATTAAAAGTATCAACCTACAGAGTACTTAATTCAAAGACACCCTGAAAATCAAAGTGAAAAAATGATGCAGCAGGCTAGTCCATTTTGCTGAAATTTCATTGCAGCAACTCAGAATGGTACTCAGTAGTTTGTATGGCCCCCACGTGCTTGTATGCATGCCTGACAATGTTGGGGCATGCTCCCAATGAGACAATGGATGATGTCCTGGGGTATTCCCTCCCAAATCTGTACCAGTGTATCACTGAGCTCCTGGACAGTCTAAGGTGCAACCTGGCAGCGTCGGGTGGACCGAAACATGATATCCCAGAGGTGTTCTATTGGATTTAGGTCAGGCAAGTGTCTGCCTGCATACTCTCGCCACATGAGGCCAGGCATTGTTGTGGACCAGGAGAATCTCAGGACCCACTACACCGGTACCTAATGGCAGTCAGGGTGCCACTGTCTAGCCTGTACAGGTCTGTGCATCCCTACATGGATATGCCTCCCCAGACCATCACTGACCCACCACCAAAATGGTCATGCTGAATGATGTTACAGGCAGCATAGTGTTCTGCACGGCTTCTCCAGACCCTTTCACATCTGTCACATGTGCTCAGGGTGCACCTGCCCTCATCTGTGAAAAGCACAGGGCACCAGTGGTGGACCTGCCAATTCTGGTGTTCAATAGCAAATGTTAATTGAGCTCTATGGTGCCGGGCAGTGAACACAGGGTCCACTAGAAGATGTTGGGTCCTCAGACCACAGTCTGTTTCCGATTGCTTGGTCAGAGACATTCACACCAGTGGCCTGCTGGATGTCATTTTGTAGGGCTCGGGCAGTGCTCATCCTGTTCATCCTTGCACAAAGGAGCAGATACTGATGGGTTAAGGACCTTCTATGGCCCTGTCCAGCTCTCCTAGACTAACTGCCTGTCTCCTGGAATCTCCTCCATGCTCTTGAGACTGTAATGGGAGACACAGCAAACCTTATTGATGTATTGATGTGCCACCCTGGAAGAGTTGGACTGCATGTGCAACTTCCGTAGGGTCTAGGTATCGCCTCATGTTAGCAGTAGAGACACTGACCCTAGCCAAATGCAAAACTAGTGAAAAACAGTCAGAAACGATGATTAGAGAAAAAAATGTCAGTGACCGCCTCCTGTAAAACCATTCCTGTTTTGGGGGTCGTCTCATTGTTGCCCATCTAGTACACTGGTTGTTAATTTCATTAACACCAAAGCAGCTGAAAATGATTAACAACCCCCTCTGCTACTTCACTGACCAGATTAATATCCCAGGAGTTTAATTGACTTGTGATTAAAAAGTGTTCCTTTAATTGTTTTCGAGCAGTGTATTAATATAATATATACACACACACAATATAATATATACACACACATGCTCTAAGATTGTATAACAAACACACACCACTTACACATGTTTGGCTCCTGCATTCATTTTTCAAATCATGCTTGATTAGCCGAATGATGCACTTCAGATCATTACTAGTACATCTGCAAATAAAAATAAAAAAAAAAAAAAAAAAAAGAGAAACAAATTGATTATACAGTACAAAAGTAAAGCCTTTTGGAATGTTTTTAGCATTTGTGTTCATTATTCATTAGTCCACCAGTTACTTGCTCTGAATGTTTTTCTAACAGCAAAGTATGGTTCGCCACTCATAAAAAGGAGTGATATTTTCACTTGCCTTTCAAAAGGTTTTGCCTTTTTTTTTCTAAATTTGTAAAAATCTTTACAGCCTTTATTTCTATTTTTTTCTTCACACTATCAAAGTTAACATTAATTTTAGAGCAAAATTAAATTCCGGATAGCCACCTCCAATTTAAAAAGGTTCAAATAATGCGATTTTTCATATAACCGATGTGAGAAACTTTAACCACTTTACAACCGCTATAGCCAAATGACGGCTACAGCGCGGTTGTCCAGTTCTGGGAGGGCGTCATATGACGTCTTCCCAGAACGCCCCAGCACGGTCTGTGATCGCTGTGTCCTACGGACACAGCTGATCACATGACAAGGTAAAAGGCCAATCACAGCAGCTTTTACCACGTGATCAGCTGTGTCCAATGACACAGCTGATCACAAAGTAAATACAGTTGCCGGTTATCGTCAGCACTTTCCTCACGCTGTGACAGCGTGAGCTAAATACTGCCAATAACCTGCAAGTGTCACAGAGGACATCTGCCCTGGTTATCAGTGCAGCCCCAAAAAAGCCCAGCAGTGGAGCCCATCAGTGCCACCTATCAGTGCAGCATCAATTTCCACCAGTATCAACTCATTAGTGCAGCCTATCACAGTGCCACCTTAGCAGTGCTGCCTAATCAATGCACATCAGTTAAGGAGAAAATTTAGCTGTTTGCAAAATTTTACAATAGAAACAAAGAACAAAACTTTCTTTTTTTTGCTCTATTTTTGTTTATAGTGCAAGAAATAAAAAACCCAGTGGGGACTAAATACCACCAAAAGAAAGGTTTGTGTGATAAAAATTTCATATGAGTACAGTGTTGCATGAATTCACAACTGTCATTCAAAAGTGCAACAGTGCTGAAAGCTGAAAATTGGCCTGGGCAGGAAGGGGGTAAAAGTGCCCATTTGGCAAGGGGTTATTGAGGTAGAAGCAGAATTTTTCCTGATTTCTCACACCTCTTAATGTTTAAAGTTGAATTCCAGAAATTCAGCCACTTTTTACAAAGTGAAGGCACACTGAGTTAAGTCCAAGGAAGTACATGACACCTCCTGGGTTTATCTCTATCATTTATAATCTGAAAGGTTTATGGTTCTGCTGAAGCACACACTGACATAATTGGAGGGCAGGGTCTGTGGGAAAGGACAGAAGCACACAGAGAAGCTACCCAACCCTCCCCTCTGCTGTCCATTCACAGGAGCCTTTGTATTTTGTAAATGAGTTTGCATAACACAAAGGCTTCTGTAATTGGGCAGGAGGAGGGGGTGGATGGGCAGAGCAGCTGCAGTGACTCTACTGTTGCAGATGCCCAGACCAGAAGGTTGGGCTCCCGGAACTAGCGCGGTCTTCTGGGAGTGCAATAAACTTGTCAGACGTAAATACAGATACGTCCAGGAGATGTCATGCACCTTGTTGGACTTAACTCATAGAATGCCTTCACTTTTTTTTTTTTTTTTTTTTTTTTTTAAATTGGATGAATTCCCCAAGGTCAGCTTTGAAGACTGAGATTGACCAAATAATGAAAAAAGCAGTATATGCTTACTGGAGCTGTACATAAAAAAAAAAAAAAAATGTAAAAAGTAAAATTTATGAAACTCTTAATGATTACAATTCTAGTGGCCAGTGATGTTTGCTCACCTTTTAAAATAAGCACTTTGGTCTCGAAATGTGGCCTGTAATATCCGGTCATCTTTTAAAATAAGCACTTTGGCCCCAAACTGCAACAAAGTGGAGCCACTGTGTTGATTGTTAACTAATGTCATTATTAAAGTGGTTGTACATATACCCAGTGAAGGAAAAATCTTCAGATGATATACAGAGACAAAACAAACCTCCTAGACAAGTCATACCTGTTTATCTGAAGCCCTTTCTTCTTTATAGCCTTCTAAAACACACAGATCAATGGCTATTTCTCCAGCAGCTAGTTGTCACAAACTGCACAGCATAGAGCAAGGAGCTGAATGTATTCTGAGAATTAAGTGGAGGGGGGGGGAGGGAAAGCCCCCCCCCCCCCTTTCTACATAGTCTTACAGAAAAACATTAACAGTGGAGACTGTCAATCACCTTTTGTGTGCTTGAGGAGGGGTGGGGGGGACAGTGCTGTAGTTTTACAATTACTTTAAAGGGTTTTCGGACTCTCAAAAGAAGGCAAGTAGTTCTGTGAATGGAGGAGGTTTGGACGGCTTTCATAATTACCAATCCTCCAATTACATAACTATCTGCTTTCTGAGAAAAGAAACAAAATATTTTTCTCAATGACTAGGAGCCAAGTGAGCAACCTCTATACTGTAGAAGTAAAAGATTTAAAAGCCACTGCAGTTAGTGCCAATTTTTGCAGTGCATACCGCCCAAATATTGTTTTTAGACTCTCATACTTTTAAGTGCTCTCAATGTACATGGACTACTGATCAAACCTATATTTATGATCACTAAATAGGGCAAAAATAAAATCTAGTTGTTAAGTGCACACAAAAGAAATTGGTATAAAATATGATATATTCATAATAATGTTTAATGTCCCACACAAATTGAAGAATTTTTCAGTTCCACACTTCAAGATATTACCTGCATGCAATGTCCTCCAGTACTTTCTGCTGGTCTTCTTCTTTGGTCATTTTAGAAAGTTGGTTGAGCAGGTCATCTACTTCTTGAATTGTCAAGAGACTCTTAGCAGCTGGTGGAAAGGTTTTACTTTCTTCAAAGAAAATCCGAACAGTCTCTGACACATCTCCCTAATTACAAATACATGATTGCTTTAGAGCCAATAATTAAGGCTTTAAATGTTTCTTCTCAAATTAAATGGATCTAAAAACTCCATTAACAGAATTGACTAATTTTCTTTTGCCTTACCTGCTCAAGGTCTCGAACCATTTCCTCTAGGTTGCAGTTGAATATACGACTAAAGAGCTTAACAATTTGTTTATCGTTGAGGTTGTACACACTCTTGATAACACCTGGTAGCAGCAGTTTTATTGTCAAGTATGTATCTCCATGGAAACCATCTGTACAAAGCAGAGCATTTACATTCACAATTACTAGCTTACAATCATGTTCTACAATATCATAACTCTGCATTCAAATATAATGTATATTTGTAAAGGATATTTGAAAATGATAAAAAGACAAATATTACCAGACATACAGGAAATTGTTAAACAATCCTATAATACGTTTAACTTAAGTAGCACAAGTACCTCCACTGGTTCCCTTTGTTAGGAAATCCTGAATGATCTGGGTCTTGGCATTATAGCTTGGCTGCTCAGCAACCATGGCACACACTTTGCGGAATTCACGCAGTAAACAGTCCTTGTGCTTTGCATCACATTTTTCTGCAGAGAGACTTGAACCAATACTGGAATTGGATGCGGATGACGAGGGTTCAGACTTTGCTGTTATGATTAGAAAGAAGTTACCATGGGTTTGCACACATTGGAACACTACAACGTCATGTTTTGTTTACCCAACATTTACACAGTTTATTATTTCACTGCAGAGGGATACACCAACTGCTTCATTTGTCTATAGGACAGGCGGGAGCTGTTTTTTTTCTGGGTGGATGTCATGACGTCCTCCCCAGAACGGGTCACACTGTGGTGCGATTTGGCACCCGATGTTTCCACCGTACACAGCCAATGACAGATCACTGTCAAGGGCCACTGCTGGTAGCAAGCGATTGCTGTGACCAATCACAGCAGATCACATGACGATTGTACACAATGGATGGCTTTCATTCATGGTGTACTATTGCGTTGCTAGTTGTGATTGGTTACAATGATCACATGGCACAGACAGGGCCAATCACAGTCCATTTTTGCCTTGTGATTACCTGTGGCCAATCACAGCTAACTACAACAATACACACTGAATAAATCGATTTCATTCAATAAAAATGGCTATGCGATATTCACTGTTATAAGCAATCATAATTTGTAAAAAACAAAAAGCCTGATTCCCCCCCCCCCCCAGAGTAGTACAGTGTTACTATGGTAACACTGTGTATTGCCCTGGTTACAGGATGCACAAAAAAAATCATAAAAGTAATAATTTTTTTTCTTTACATACTGTCGCGAGTCAGCATTCCTGAGCACTGCCATACCAGTTATTAGATGATGCCGAACAGCACTGGCAACAGTAAGTGTAACAAATAAAAAAACACAAAAAAACTATTTTTTTTTTAAATTTCTTAATTTTCTTGTGACAAAAAAAATGACCAGTTCAAAAAACTTGCCATGCCTCTAATTAAATACCTTGGACTGACTACTTTCCAAAAAGGGATAATTTGGGAGGGAGGGGGCGGGGGATATGTTATCTGTACTGTTCTGGTGTTTTCAGGCCTCAAGAAATGAGACAGACCTTCAGTACATCAGGACTGATTGATTTTCAGATATATATCCCATATTTTGTAGACTCCATAACTTTCACACAAACCAATTAATATACACTGATTTGGGTTATTTTTACCAAAGTAACGTAGCAGAATACATTTTGGTCTAAATTTATGAAGATTAAGAAGGAAAAAAATGTGCAAATAACTTAACAGAAACAAGGAAAAATGCTTTTTTTTTTTTTTAAATGTTCAGCCTATTTTAGTTTATTTAGCAAAAAATAAAAAAAAAAGTGGTGATTAAATACCACTAAAAATAAGCTCTATTTGTGTCACCAAAATGATAAAAATTTCTTATGGGTACAGTGTTGCATGACCGCACAATTGTCAAAGTGTGAGAGCACTGAAATCTGAAAGTTGGCCTGGACAGGAAGGTGGTGAAAGTGACCGCTACTGAAGTGGTTAAATACTACATTACAGTTTTATTGCTTAGATTTAAAAAGTGTAAAGCACACATCTGAAGTCAAACACATACCTGAAAACCCAGAAAACTTCAAAGGTGAAGGGCTGGGTGCAGGCATTTTTGCTGGAGATACACTTGGCGCTGTTGGGGGTTGATTTGCCTTTGAAGGAGTCTTTTTCCGAGGTGTTGGTGCAGCTCCAGCTTTAGTAGCAAGTTCTGGGAATGTATCCAAGTAAAACGACACATAAAAAGACACAAAAGCAACAGATTTATTTACTTAATAGGTGATGCACCAATCTGTAATTTGCTGCTGCATATGAAAGCAAAGCTCATTACTATTGAAAGAAAAAAAAGAAAGGTAACCAATATACACATCTCATCTACAAAATGTCAGCAGCATAGTGTCTGGTAGTCTGTCATTTATAAGATTGACTCACAGTACTTGTACAAAAGGTCAAGTCTATCAAATTCTAAAACTCAGACACTGCCAACACCTAAGCTTTTTCCCTCATGTTCATAGTACTGGAAAGACAAGTTCTTGAAAAGTTAAAATTGAAAATATTTCTGGTTGCTCTATCCAGAAAAACAGACGTTATAAACCAACAGATGGCCAAGGGGTTTGGCACAGAATCTGTTCAGATGTATCACTGACCTTTGGTGAAGTATACAGAACACTTTAGGATTAATACAAATAAAACAGGGGAACAAAACTATGACTGTATAGGAATACAATTTAAATATAAAATACTTGCTATGCTTTGAGAAACAGATTTTAAATAATATAAGGCATCCATAGGAATTAGATGGTATCTGGTTAACTAGCATGCACCAGAAGCACAACTGTTGTCTAAAGCCAAACCTTTCCTAAAAGAAATGTGGTGGATACCATTCTGACTTCCTCCTGAAAAACTTAGGTGGCTGGCTGTAATGCTGACCTACTGGCTTCAGTACTTTGGGAAAATAACCTCTAACAAATATGCATATACTTGGGTGTATGATTAGCATTTTCAGTAGGTTTCCCCAGATTTCTCTTAAGGAACCCTTACCTTTCACATGCTGATTGATCAGTTCTTTTTCAGCATCCTGTAGCTCTTGCCAGCCTTCAAGCTCCGTGAGGTCATCAATCTTCTTTGTGGTTGCTCGTACACGCTCCAACTTCTCAAACATGCACTTGATATGGTACCACTCTTTCATATCTCCTGCCGATTCACTAAAAGGATTTGGAACTATTTTTCCAATTCGTACCAAGCCTTTTCCTATTTTTTCTTTGCATTTCTTGCAGCCTGCAGTCCCACGCTTGGCATATTCTACACAATATCGTTGCTCTGCCATGTTGTGGCAGCCACTGATCCTTATAGCAAAGTCTAGCTGTAAGGTGCAGAAAGTAGGTAATCTTGAGCAGTAATGAAGATAGGGAGTAGTAGTGTTTGAAAAGCTCCTCAATGACAGTGGCGAAAATGTCCTTGCCGTTTGAAGAAGCAAAAGTTTAAATAATCCTTTCATACAAATGCTTGGTCTGGGAAAAAAAAGGCAGGGTATATATATAGCACACATGCTTGATGTTTGCAACCTGCAAATTTTACCAACTAATCATGACAAAAGATCAACATGTGAGTACCATTCACAAAAGCAGACAGCATGAGGTATTTAGGTGATCTAACACATTTTCCCTAAATATCACATGCGATCCTGAAACTGTTAATTCACTATACTGTTTTGCAGTATTTACTACAAAATGGTCAATAAACTCAATAAATACTGCATAAAAGGGGTTAAAGTCAATTCACAGAAGAAAATACATAAATTAAATGCATGCGGTAATTAGGTAGTGGTCCAGGCATGTGGTAGCTAACAAATGTGTTGGACTTTAACCGGTTAAATAGCTGGCAGCCAACGGTGTCCTTAACAGCCCATAACTGTCATGCTTGTTAAGGAGTGGGCAGCTGCTGCGTCCTTTACAACCAATGAACCATTAGCAGTCAGCAGGGTTCCCTGCTGATTGCTGAATGTAAACAAAACAATTGTTGCCAACTACAAATTAAAAAAAATGAAACAGCGTGAGGTCCCCCCTCCCTCAAGCCATACCAGACCATTCATATCTTGCCCAAATTAGAAAAAAAAAAATGGCTTGGGGGTCCACCCCAAAAACCATACCAGACTCTTATCCAAGCAAGCAGTCCAGCTGGCCAGGAAAGGGAGTGGGGTATGAATGAGCAGCCCCCTCAACATGTTGATGAAGACAAGGGCTTCCTGCCCACAACCCTGGCCCTGTGTGAACCAATGAGGAGAGAGAAACCCAGGAGAGCCGAAGCTCTCATGCACATCGCTGGCGCGAGATGGGGCTCAGGTAAGTATAAGGGGGGAGCTGCAGCCAGAAGGTTATTTATCGATATACATTTCCCCTGTCAGTGTTCCTCGACTGCCAGCAGGGAATCTGCAGTCGGGATCCGGTGATCGACAGCTGTATCCACCAATTGCGGAGCAGGTAGGGCTGCACGCACGCCCCCTTCCCGGAACTGCAAAAATATATAAATATATATATATATATATATATATATATATATATATATATATATATACATATACATATATACGCACACACATACGATTTTGCGCAGCCCTGCCACCCTGTATCAGTAGTTCTGCTATAGGGCGGTCGGGGAGTGATTAAGAACTATAAATATAGAGTAGATTAACCCCTTGCGGTGCAGCCACTATACATGGTCTACAATATAAGTAAGCCCCATCCGGTCTCTGATCTTACCTTTATATAGTAAAGCCCTAAAATGTATTATATTGTAGTTTATCGATTCTTAGATGTTACTACATTTTTTTTTCCCCTTTATTTTCATTTGTTGATCCAGCCATATATTTGTTATGTTTTATGATAAAGGATTTTTGTTTGTTTTTGGTCTTGTCACCTTTATATAATGAAGACTAAGGCTACGTTCACACTAGCATTGTGTGCAGGCGCAGAGAGGCGTTTGGGAAGCGTTTTTACCGCTTCTCAAAGGCCTCGGACAATTCTGCACATTGCAGCACATGGTGCTGTTCTAACGGGAGTGTTAGCGTCGTGGCAAAACGGACGCCTCTGGTCGAGTCAGGAGGCGTTGAAGCCTCCTATTCTAGTCTATGGTGCCACTCCGCAAACACCCGGCCGGCGTTTGCGGCACAGTTGCGGAGCGGTAACACCATTTAAACTTCATTATAGGCATTTGTGGAGCAATTTTAACGCTCGGCAAACTCCTAGCAACCGCTGCTAAACCGCGCATGTGTTAAAAAACCCTCCGCAAACGCCGGACCAATGCTTGCCAAATGCTATAGGGGCGTTTGGCAGGAGTTGGTAAAACAGTCAAGTGTGAACAAGTCCTAAAGCACCCAGTAGTCAGTGAATACCACCAAAAGTGCTGTTTAACCTCCCTAGCGGTCTGATTATTTCAGATTTTTGGAGCTGAAAGCGGTACCATTATTTTGCATGGAAATATGTCGCTTTTTTATTGTAGGCCTGTAATTTTTATGAATGACTCACTGAAATCTGTCCGAACAAGAGTCTAGTAAACATCCCGGGTATGATAAAATTTGAAACACGAAATCATAAATTATAATTTAATAAATAATCATAAAAAATAATAATATAATAATAATACATTTAATTCAATAATATAATCAAACCAAAAACACTGAAATTTGAAATATAGCGCCAAGTTCGCACATTGCGGAGCAAAGTCGCAAAATCGTTTTCAGTGTCTGATGATGAATTTCCCCACTAATCATCACTCAATTCTGCAAGTGGTTCTGATTTACTATCGCTGTTCTCTAGCTGGTCTAAAACCGCTTTTGACCTACAGGGACGCTTTTTGGACGCCATGGACTTTTCTCAGTTTCCAGGCAGAAAACAGTCAAAATGCAGGCAGGGCACAGGACAAAGAACTCGGGACAAAATGTATGTGAAATGGGTTGAAACAGCAATGTAAAATTTGTTTGGGAAAAAAATGACATTTTTTAAAATTTAAAAAAATTTCCCGCCGCCGCCCCGTACATCTTGACGTCACAGGGACCGGAACACAGAAGTCGGATGTCGGCATCGGCCGGAGGAGATGGCCGGGGACGCTGCAGGGGACACATCGCGGGAGCGAAGGACAAGGTAAGCTCTGCAGGGACTCCCTATGCAGCGCCTCATGGTAAGCCGGAGTGTAGCTCGGGGTTACCGCTTTTGGCACTGACATTTTCCCCGAGCTACACTCAGAAATACCGCTAGGGAGGTTAAAAAATTATATAGAAGTAATCTGGGTATGGCATAATGGAGTATTTAGCAGTCAAAATGTCACAGCGCTAGCGGCAGTTTCACACTTGAACATGGTGAGGGAAACCTGCGTTCCAGGTGTGTTTTCACACAAAATTCAAAATACAGTACAATTGTGATCTGCAGCAGGTGTCAATATTAGCCACTTGCCTACCGGGCACTTTTACCTTCTTCCTGCCCAGGCCAATTTTCAGCGCTGTTGCACTTTGAATGACAATTGCGTGGTCATGCAACACTGCACCCAAACAAAATGTTATCTTTTTTTTTTGTGGTATTTAATCACTACTGGGTTAAACAAACTAAAAAAAGACTGAAAATTTTGAAGAAAAAGAGAAGAGGAGTTACTGGTAAGTCCATTTTTTTTTTTTTTTTTTTAGGTCTTCCAGGACAGCCCCTTGAGAGATAGAGCTCCTCACTTACCCACTAGGGCGGGGCTACTGCCTGGAGGACTTTGCGCCCAAACACCTGATCCTCACTAGAAAGCAGATCCCGGTGATAATGTCTCATGATGGTAGAAAAGATGGACCAAGTGGCCGCCTTACAGATTTGTTCTGGCAAGGCACCAGCTCTCTCTGACCAGAATGCTGACAAGGATCTGGTTGAGTGTGAATTAATAAACGGGGATGGAATTTCTAATAAATTATACAATTCTGCAATAGCCATCCTAATCCATCTAGCTATGGTGGACTTGGAAGCACTGGAACCCTTCCATGCTCCCACAAAAAGAACAAAAAGAGAATCTGAATTTCTGAACTCTCTGCATCTACTAAGACAGGCCAAAAGGCTCCTTCTAACATCTAACAAACTTAAGCTTTCCTTCTCCTTGTTTGCGGGAGCAGAACAGAAGGTCCACAAAATGATATCTTGAGATCTATGAAAGGAGGAGGAAACTTTGGGAACAAACCCAGGATCCATTCTAAGCACAATTCTATCCTCGAAAACTGACAAAAAGGGTTCCCTAATGGAAAGCACCTGCAATTCACTCGCCCTACGGGTCGATGTGATTGCTACCAAGAACACAGTTTTTAGAGTTAAAAACTTTATTGAAGACAGCTCCAGAGGTTCAAAAGGGAAAAAGGATCAAAGCCAAATCCCAAACTGGACAGGACCTGACCGCCGCTGGCCTGGACTTGGGAAGGGCCCTGAAAAAAATCCGCTATAAAAAGGGATCCTGCTGGAGGGGGACCTGAAGGAAACCACTAACGACTGAGGCCTGCACCTTTAAGGTGCTAACCAAAAGGCCATGATCTGCCCCAGCCTGGAAGAAATCTAACACGTACGGGGGATGGAACTGGCGGGAAATTTGAAAATGGCAAAGTGACATTCACTAAATTCACTAAAATAACATAGTAAAACATTACTGTATCAAACCATTTCCCATACATTTTGTCCCGAGTGCTTTGTCCTGTGCCCTGCCTACATTTTTACTGTTCTTTCTGCCTGGAAACTGAGAAACGTCCATAGCGTCCAAAAAGCGTCCCTTTAGGTCAAAAGCGGTTTTAGACCAGCTAGAGAACAGCAATAGTAAATTAGATCTACTTGCAGAATTGAGTGATGATTTGTGGGGAAATTCGTCATCAGACACTGAAAACGATTCGGCGACTTTGCTCAGTGATGTGCGAACTTGGCGCTATATTTTAAATTTCAGTGTTTTTGGTCTGATTATATTATTGAATTAAATTTATTATTATATTATTTTTTATGATTATTAGATTATAATTTATGATTTCGTGTTTCAAATTTTAACATACCCGGGATGTTTACTAGACTCTTGTTCGGACAGATTTCAGTGAGTTATTCCTAAAAATTACAGGCCTACAATAAAAAAAATACATATTTCCATGCAAAAAAAATGTACCGCTTTGAGCACAGAAATATGGACATAATAATACCGCTAGGGAGGTTAAGAGAAGGCAAAAATTGCCTGAGGGCTTTTTCACTACCAAAAACATGGGAATAAAATCCCATCCCCTGCTTGTTCCAGGGAACAAGAGTAAGGACCCCTTAATCCACACACAGCCTGTGCCTTCTCCTGATCCCTGGGAAGGTTGGTTACCAGATACCTGGCGGGGGCACTGGAGTCGAACTCCAACCTGTACCCTTTTTCTATCAAGTCCAGTCATTTAAACTTGGCAGGGCCCTGAGGAGGATTGAATAAGATCCCCCCTTACCCTTGTTCTTGTGTCCTGTCCAAAGTTTCTTGGGCTGGACATCCTTACTTTGCTGGACCTGCATTTTCTGACGAAAAACCCTCCTGGAGTAAAATCTCTTTTCACTCTCTGGAAATGCCCTCTTTTTATTGGGTGTACGCTCCAAAGCCTCCTGGAGACCTGGACCGAAAAGGTTATCGCCTATAAAGGGTAAGGCACAAAGGCGTAGCTAGAACGCAGAGTCCCCTGTCCAGGTCTTAATGCCCTTCTAGCTGAATTCACCAGGGTAGACATTCTCACGGCTAGTTTAACTGATTTGGCCTAGGCATCCGTGAGGAAACCTACCGCTCTAAACAGCAAAGGAAAGGAGTTTGGTATTTGCTGCTTGGAAGTCCCTGCCGACAGATGAGTCTAACTGGGTAAGCCGGCATTCCAGATTTCTGGCGACACAGGTGGTCGATAAAGCCGGCTTAAAACTGATAGAGGTAGAATTCCAGGCCCTCCATAGCAAGTTTTCTCCTCTCTTATCCATAGGATCCTTTAGAGCCCCCTTATCTTCAAATGTTAGGTCTGTCTTTTTAGAGACTTTAGATAAGGAGGCATTCAACTTTGGAACTTTGTTCCATGGCTGGGATCCCTCTTCCCCAAAAGGAAATCTCCTTTAAAGACCACCAGAATAATCCCACTCCAGCTTAATGGTATCAACCAGGGAACTATGGACTGGAAAGACCCTAGTCTTTTTAGCTGATAATCAAGGCACTGCTCATCAGTGCCCCGATCATCAGTGCAGCCTTTCAGTGCTCATCACTGCCGCCTATCAATGCCACATATCAGTGCCCATCAATGCCACATCATTACCCATCAGTGCAGCCTATCCATGCCTCCTCATCAGTGCAGTCTATCAGTACCCATCATTGCCAAATGTCAGTGCCGCCTATCAGTGTGGCCTCATCAGCAAAGGAGAAAAATTACTTATTTACAAAATTTTATAAGATAAACTTTTTTTTTTTTTAAGAAAAAACTTTTTTTTTAAATTTTCAGTCTTTTTTTAGTTTGTTTACCAAACAATAAAACACCCAGTGGTGATTAACTGCTTCCCAACCATGCTATAGCCGACAAAAGGCTACAGCGTGGTTGTCTAGTTCTGGGAGGGCGTCCATGGACACAGCTGATCACGTGATAATGTAAAAGGCCAATCACAGTGGCCTTTTACCACGTGGTCAGCTATGTCCAATGACACAGATCACAATGTAAATACAGTTGCCGGTTATCGGCTGCACTTTCTTCACACTGTCACATCGTGAAGAAAGTACTGCTGATAACTGGCAGATGTAACAGGGGAAATCTGAACTGATAATCAGGGCACCGATTATCAATGCCACCCAGTAGTGCCGCCTATCAGTGCCCATCATTGCTGCATATCAGTGCATCAGTGCCTCCTCATCAATGCCCCCCAGTGTCGCCTCATCAACGCACATCAGTGAAGGAGAAAAATTACCTGTTTGCAAAATTTTATAATAGAAACAAAGTAAACCTTTTTTTTTCAAATTTTATTTTTTTTTTTATAGTGCAAAAAATAAAACCCCCAGTGGCAATTAAACATTACCAAAAGAAAGCTCTATTTGTGTGAAAAAAATGCTGAAAATGTCATATGGGTACAGTGTTGCATGACAGTGTAATTGCCATTCAAAGTGCAACAGCGCTGAAAACTGAAAATTAGCCTGGAATGGAAAGGGGTATAAGTGCCCGGTAGGCAAGTGGTTAAATACCACTAAAGAAAGCGCTGTCTCAAAAAAAAAAAAAATGGTTTGGCCACAGTGTTGCATGACTGCGCAATTGTCATTTAAAGTGCAAAAGCGTTGAAAATTGGCCTAGACTGGAAGGGGGTATAAGTGCCCAGTAGGCAATTGATCAAATACCACAAAGAAAGCTGTCTAAAAAAAAATAAATTGGTTTGTGCACAGTGTTGCATGAACGTGCAATCGTCATTCAAAGTGCAACAGTGCTGAAAGCAGAAAACTGACTGGGGCAAGAAGGGTATGAAAGTGCCCTGTAGGCAAGTGGTTAAAGTTGAAAGTGGCCTGGAAATGAAGGGTGAAACATGTATGGTGGCGATTAGAGGAACTTCACCCCCCCACACTTTTCTTTTTCTTTGTAGGGCTATCTTAAAAAAACAAAATCCCCTGCTTGCCTGCCCAGCCAATCCAGCGTTACCCTGCTGTGATTGGCTGCCACATTCCAGTTCCTGCACTACCAAATTCCCTTCCTACACCATCAAGAACTGGCTGACTGTTGATGACTTACTGCCAGATTGGTCCTGCAGCTGCTGAATGGTCCTGTTCCTACAGCCTCCTGAGAGATGGGATGGGGATATCCCAGGAGACTCCAGGAGCAGGACACGTCACTCTCACCTAGGACAGAACAGAGCCAAGGGGCAGGCCAGAACAACAATAAAACAAACACACAGCAAAAAACAAAGAAAAAAGATGTGTTTCTAATCATTCCTGGAGGTTTGTAGTGGGGAAGTTAGTTTGGGGTCTGATCAGTGATCACTCATGTAGTATACACACTGGGGTTACCAGAAGGAAGCCAAGCCTGTCCTAGAATGCAGCCATGGCTCCTACAAACTATACAGGTGACAGTACAGAGGACCTATACACCACCAGTCCCAG